TATATTTGAAAACCTTTTGTTTTGAGGTAATTGTAGATTCACATGCAGTCATTAGAAATAATACAGAAAAATCCTATATACCCTTTACCCAGTTCTATCCAGTGATAATATCTTGCAAAACTACGATAGATTATCACAACTGGATATTAATATTATGTTCAAAATCCAGAAGATTTCTGCTACACAGGATCCCTTTTATAGCCATACTCACTTCCCTCCCACCCCCATTTCCTCCTTCACTCCTGGCAGGCGCCGATCTGTTCTCCATTTCCATAATTTTGTCACTTCAAGAATGTTATGTAAGTGGAGTCATACAGTATGTAACCTTGGGGATTGGCTTTTATCACACAGCATAGCTCACTGGAGATTCCTCCAGGTTTGTGTGTGTCCGGAGTTCACGGCATGGATGTCCCACAGTTTTAACCAGTCTCCTGTGGAAGGACATTTGTTTCCAGTTTGGGGTTATTACGAACACAGCTGCTGTAAACATTCATGTACAGATTTTTGTGTGATAATAAGTTTCATTTCTCTGGGATAAATGCCCATGAGTGTAATTAGTGGTATGTAGTTGCATGCTTAGCTTTTTCAGAAACTGCCAAACCATTTCCCAGAGCGGCTATACCTGTATTGCGTGCCCCCAGCATTGTGTGAGCGATCCAGTTTCTCCGCATCCTCCCCAGGTTTTGGCGTTTGGCCATTCTGAGAGCTGTGTAGTGATATCTCAGTGTGGCTTTAATTTGCATTTCCCAAATGGCTAATAATGTTGACCATTTTCATTTGCTTCTTTGCCATCTGTATTTCCTCTTTGGTGAAATTCTCTTTATGTCTTTTTCCCATTTTCTAATTGGATTGTTTGAGGTTTTTACTGTTGAGTTTTGAGAGTTCTCTATATGTTTTATATATTTAGATACTTTGTCAGAAATGTGGTTTCCAAATATTTTTTCCCGGTCTGTAGTTTTCTCTTTATCTTCTTAACAGGGTCTTTCACAGGTAAAAGTTTTTAAAATGTTGGCAAGACCTAATTTATCAAGTTTTTACTTTTATAAATTGTACTTTTGACGTCAAGTGTAAGAGCTTGTTGCCTAGCCATGGATCTTGAAGACTTTCTCCTGTTTTTTCTAACAATGTGATACTTTTACATGTAAGTCTGTGATCCATTTCCAGTTAATATTTGTATAAGGCATGACAATTAGATTGAGGTTTCTTTTTTTTTCCTATGCGTGTCCCGTTGCTCAAGCCGTTTGTTGAAAAGGCAATCCTTCCTCCACTGAATGGCATTTGCGCCTTTGTCAGAAGTTGGTGGGGCACACTTGTGTAGGTCTGCTTCGAGGTCCTCTCTTCTGTTCCATTGACCTACATGTCTGTCCCTCTGCCAGGACGACGCAGTCTTGATTCCTGTAGCTACGTAGAGTCTTGACATGAGGTAGACTGACTCCTCCCACCTTATTCTCTTTCGAAATTGTCTCAGCTGTTCTGGTTCCTTCGCCCTTTCCGTACACGTTTTAGATTATCTTGTGTATCTCTCAGAAAAATCTTGCTGAGATTTTGATAGAAATTACATTAAACTCCTGTATCAGTTTGGGGAGAATCGTCATCTTAACTGTGTTGTCTTCCGATTTATGAACACAGTATGTCTTTCCATTTATTTAGATCGTCTTTGATTTCTTAGTATTTTGTAGTTCTCGGCCTACAAGTTCTATACATGTTGTGTTAGATTTACACCTAAGTATTTCTTTTATTAATTTTTTTGTAAGCAATAAATAGTATAGTATTATTTTTTTTAAACTTCCTCATCACAGCTAGCTTTTTTTTTTTTAAAGATTTTATTTTTCCTTTTTCTCCCAAAGCCCCCTGGTAGATAGTTGTCTGTTTTTAGTTGTGGGTCCTTCTAGTTGTGGCATGTGGGATGCTGCCTCAGCGTGGCTTGATAAGTGGTGCCATGTCCACACCCAGGATTCAAACTGGCGAAACCCTGGGCCTTCAGAGCAGAGCACGTGAACTTAACCACTCAGCCATGGGGCCAGCCCCAATAGTATTATTTTTTTAATCTCAGTGTCTTAATTTAAGTTCATTGCCAGTATATAGAAATTGATTTTTGTTAAGTTTATCGTGTATCCTTTGACCTTGCTGAACCCACTTACTAGTTCTGGGAGTTTTTTGGGTCAATTCCTTGGGATTTTCTATATAGACAATCATGTCATCTACACATAAAGACAGTTCTGTTTCTTCCTTTCTGATCTGTATGCTTTTTATTTCCTCTTTTTTATTTCCTTTTTTTTGCTTTCTTGCTCTGGCTAGCACTTCTAGCGTTATGTTGTATAAGAATGGCAAAACTAGAAATCCTTGCCTTGTTCCCAATCTTAGGAAGAAAGTTAAGTTTAGTGTTAGCTATAAGGTTTTTTTAGGTGTTCTTTATCAAATATCTTCTATTCCTATTTTTCTGAGAGTTTTTGTCATGAATGGGTGATGAATTTTGTCATGCTTTTTCTTCATCCATTAGTATGATCATGTGACTTTTTTTCTTCATAAGCCTGTCAATCTTATGGATTACACCTAATCAATTTTAAGTATTGAACCAGATTTGCATCACGGGAACAAGCCCCACTTGGTCATGGTATATAATTCTTTTAACATATTGATCTGTTGCTCTGTTTTATTTGCTAACATTTTGTTAAGGAGGTTTTTTTCCTTTTCCTCTAACTTGATAATTAAGGATTTTTGTGTCTTTATTCATGAAGGATATTTGTCTGTATTTTTCTTTTTATGGTACTGTCTTTGGTTTTGGTACTGGGGTAATATTAGGAAATATCCCTTCCTCTTCTGTGTTCTGGAAGACATTGTATAGAATTGGTGTTACTTCTTTAAAAGTTTGGTGGAATTCTCTAGTGAAACCATGTGGGCCTGGAGATTTCTTTTTTGGGGGGAATTTTTAAACTATGAATTCAGTTTCCTTAATAGTTGTAGGACTATTCAAGTTATCTATCTCATATTGAGAGGCTTGTGATCATTTATGTTTTTCATCTAAGTTGTCAAACTTGTGTGTGTGGAGTTGTTTGCAGTAATCCCTTCTTGGCCTTCTGATGTCTACAGGGTCTGTAGGGGCAGCTCCTATTTCATTCCTGGTGTTGGTGATTTATGTCTTGTGTCTTTTTTCTTTGTCAGTCTTGCTAGAGGCTTGACAATTTTATTAATCTTTTCAGAGAACCAGCTTTTTGTCTTTCCAGTTTTCTCTATTGTTCTTCTGTTTTCCTTTTCATTGATTTCTGCTCTTGTCATTATTTCTTTCCTTTTGCTTGCTTTGGGTTTATTTTGTTCTTTTTCTATGTTCTTGAGACTTGCTGTTTTTTATTTGTTTCAAGAATGTTTGTAATTGCTTGTTGAAGCATTTTTGTGATGGCTGCTTTAAAATCTGTGCCAGATCATTCTAGGCTCTCTGTTATCTTGATGTTGGCATCTATTGATTGTCTCTCTTTGTTCAGTTTGAGAGCTGCCTGGATCCTAGTATGATGAGTGATGTTTTATTTAAACCCAGATATTTTGGGTGTTATGAGACTTTTGACCTCATTTAAACTTTCTGTTTTAGCTGGCTTCTTCTGTTACTGCTCTGGCAGGGAAAGCAGGGGCTTCTCCTCATTACTGCCGGGTGTGGATAGAAGTCCAGGTTCTACCCTTGGCCTCTGTTGACACCCATTGGTGGTGGGGGTAAGAGAAGTTTCCTCATTACTACAGGGCAGGGAGGCAGTTCTGGATCCCTACCAGGCCTCCACTGATACCTCCCTGACTAGAAGGGGTAGAAATGTCTCTTTCCTGCTCCCCAGATGGCCTCCCCTCACACCATGGGAACACGGTGGGCAGTGCTAAAAGTCCCGAGTCTCCACCAGGCCTCCTCTGACACCATCCCAGCATGAAGAGAGGAGAGACATCTCATTACTGCCAAGTGAGGGTGGAAATCCAGGCTCTCCACATGGTCTCCACTCTCACCTCAGCGTGGGGGGCCTCATTGCTACCCAGCCAGGGTGGAATTCTCCCTCCCTTCTTGGTCTTCTCTGCTGTCCCCCAGCTGAGGGTGCTGGGGTACCTCATTACAGCCTGCTGATGGTAGAAGTCTAGACTCCCTCAGGCCCTTGCTGGTATGGTTGGGGTGGGGCCACAGTGTTTTCTCTGGTGTTTGGTTCTTTTCTAAAAGTTCTGTCATGCTGGGCTCCCCCTTTCCTGGTCCTTTGGCTAGAGGAAGCAAGCTTTTGGGGAACTTTTTGTCTTCACCATTGGTATTTCTGGGCTGATGTTTCTTCAGCTCCAAATCTGGAATCTATCAGGCAAAAGAAAAAGCCCCAGGAACTCACCACCTTTCATTCCTTGTGTCCCAAGGCACCTAGCCAGTCTGCCTCCGTCTCCCCATCTTTCCGGGTCTCTTATGTTTATTTTGTATGTAATGTCCAGTGTTTTTGGTTGTACTTAGTGCGAGGAATAGGGAAAAGTATGTCCACTCCATCTTCCCAAAAGCAAACAACTCTTCTCTTTTTGCTGAGTCTTCTTACTTATTGATGTAAACTACTTGGGAGGAGCAAGCCTAGAATGTGCAGTTTTGTATCCCCTGTAAGGCCTGTGTGTATGAATGTGCTTAATAGTTGTCTATAGACTGACTGATTTGGCTGTTCACATGGTGCCTTAACCTCACAGAGGGAAAAGTTCTGAGAACTGTGACTAGGAGAGACTGGTAGGTGTCTCATTGAACCTCTTCACACCTATGGCTGTGGAAGCGTCCATCAGGCACCCAGCTTCCTAAAGAGGTGGGTTGGCATTTTCCCTTTCATCTTCATGGAGAGGTTATGAGCAGAGAGCAGACTGCCCCTGAGACCCTTGAAATGCAAACCCATGAGTTGCTGTGGTTGGGCTAAGGGCTTCTCAATTCATGGCAGGTGCCCCCCTGGGGGAGCCACCCCTCTGGGAACTTGCAGCAGGGGGTCCAGAGCATTCACCCCATGTTTCCTTTGAAACAGGAGGACCATGACACTATGGAAGCTGATCTGGACAAAGACGAGCTGATCCAGCCCCAGCTTGGAGAACTCTCAGGCGAGAAGCTTCTGACCACGGAGTACTTGGGAGTAAGTACCATGTGAAGGGGGCGGTGGTCCTGAAGTAGGAAGGAGAGATGGACCATTGATGGACTTAGCATTTGCAATAACATGTAAGGGTTTGGTTTGGTCTGTTACCATACTGTGTTTGTAAGAAGTTCCGCATTCGCCAGTTTGCTTGCAGTGGCCCTGAAGTCCAATGTGGCCCTTTCTACCTGTCACAGATAGACCTGCTGGTAAACAGAAGAGGGATTAGAATATCACTAAAAGGCACACGCCAGGAGCCTTTGTAATATCTGAAGGTATGCCCATCCTTAGGAGTAATCGTCTACTCTTCCAGCGTCTTAATTTTCGGGCGCCTTATCTATTAGAAGGGAAGACTGTAGCCTGTTGGAGGCCATCAGCACACAGGCGGTGGCTGAAACCCTCAGGGCAGGTGAGGTTGCCCACTGAAGTGGAGGGTGGAGAGGCAGAGAGTGAGGGGCTGAGGACAGAGTGACATACCAGCGTGTCAGGAGTGAGAGAAAAAGAGGGGCCCCCAAGAAGGACAGAAGGTGAGCAGTCAGAGAGGCTTGAGAAGAACCAGGAGAATGCGGTGCCCCAGAAACAGAAGGAAGGGATATTGCAGGATGGACTGAGTGATCAATCCAGGCATCCAAGAGGCCTGCGGAGTCACATGGCTGTGACGGGGCCATCCTCTAAACTCTGAGAACTCCCCAATGACTCTCATGCTCAGCCAGCTCCAGGAGCCACTGGTTACCACCCACCAGCTAAATAGGGAAGGATGTGAGTCAGGAGGAGTTGCCATTGGGCCAGAAGAGGATGACAGTGTCAGGGGCCTGCAGGTGCCTCATGAGACCTTGATCAGAGAGCACATAGGGTGAGCAGGTGAGATGCTGGAGTGTAAGGTTTCTGCAGGGAAGAGCAATTGCAAGGGATGAGGGCCAGTCCACTGAAGCCCTGTGACAAATGGCTGAGCGCCTAGGGGTGAAGGCCACTGGTGGTTTTAAAGCTGGTGATTGACTGGGTCAGTGACATGGACCTTGAAATCTCCTCGAATTAGGCAGGTTGGTGTTAGAGCAGAAGGCTTGGAGGCAGTCTCTCAACAATTGGCTGGCAAAGACAGTGACTCGGGAAGGAAAAAGATGGGGGGTGAAGGTGGTGTGAGGCTTTATAGGAGCAGGTAGAAGCTGAAAGCGCCTGTCCCCCAGTGCTGCCCCCAGGCCAGGCCCTCATCACCTACCCTGGGTGCTGGTCTCCCTGTCGCCTGGCCCTGGTCTTCCATCGTTTGAGGAATTTCTGGGAGCCCCAGGCTGGAGTGCAATCCATGCTGATGGAACTTGAGGTTGGAGGACATCCAGAGGCCTGGTCATGGGGGCTCTGTAGGCAACGGTGGTGGATTTTACTCTCCAGGAGCTAGGAAATTGTTGGAGGGCGGAGAGCAGAGGGGTGACTCAGTGTGCCTTATGTTTTAATGTGTCAACTTCTAGTTTCTCTCTGGCTGCTTTCTGGAGGACAGACTGGAGGGGCAAGAGTGAAAGGGGAAGATGACGGGAGGAGGCTGGGGGTGGGGCAGGGTCTGCTGGGCTGCAGCCCTCACTGTTTTCAGAATGTCTCCAGGGATCTCAGGAATCTGATTGATGCCGGAGGCTCTGTTTATGCTGGGTCAAGTGGGGAGTGCTCGAGAAAGGTTGGAAGTGAGGCAATCCAAGTTCCAAGTTGTTGATGGACGTCTTGAGCCCTGACTAGGCCGTTGTCTCTCTTGGGAAGAACACTGGTTTGTCAGGAAGGACTGAGCTCCATTTGGAGGACAGAGCATTTGTAAAAGCAAGACTCTCCTGCTTTTGTGGGCAGGTTTTGAGGAGAACAGAGGAAGCCAATTGGTGGGGCTTCTTTGGAGGGTGGTGGTGATAGCTGTCGAGAACACGGCCCTGCGCCGTTGGGACTTTCCCACAGACACAGCCACACAAGCCCGTGAGCGTCAGCAAGGATGTTCATGTAGCTTTGTCCAAGAGAAACCTGAATACAGCCCCTCAGCCAAATAACTTAGAGCATGTCTACACAGTGAAATGCTGGGGCTGAGGCCTTATGTTGATATGGTGAAGATTTGTAACCACAATAACAAGAAGCCAAGATGCAGACCATGCTGAGACGACCAGTCTGATCACGCAGACCAGTGAGGCTCAGAGGGACAGAGCTTTCAAATCAGTCAATCAATAACCCGGTTTAATGGTGTCTGGAAATGGTGTCATTTACCACAGCGTGCAGCTCTAAATCTCCTTAAGGTGTATGTCTTGTCCTTTCACCAGAGGAAACGTTTTGAGTCCAGCAGAAAAGCTCCGTGCACGCTTGCTTTTCTCGTTGGTGTCAGCTCCTTTTTGGTGGAGTTATGAGTAGTGAGAATGAAGTACAGAAAGAATTCACTGTATACATGTGAAGACCAAGTGTGTTGGTGTCCTAGGGCTGCAGTAACACAGAGCCATAAACTGGATGGCTTGAAACAACAGAAACTTATTCTCTCCTAGTTCTGAAGGCGGGACGTCCAAAACCAAGCTGTCAGCACGGCCACGCTCCCTCCAGAGGCTCTAGGGGGGCATCTTTCTTGCTCTTCCAGCTTCTCGTGACTCCAGGGGCTCCTTGACTTGAGGCTGCGCCACTCCAAACTCCGCCTCCATCTCCACATGGCCTTCTCTTTTCTCTCTGTTCTCTTTTGTCTCTTATAAGGACACTTGTCATTGGATTTAGGATTCTCTAGGATAATCTCTTCATCTCAAGATCCTTAACTTAATTACGTCTGCAAAGACTTTTTCCTAATAAGGTCACAGTCCTAGGTTCTAGGGGTTAGCACATGGACATTTCTGTTTGGGGGCCCACAACAACCCACTATACACAGGATCTCATAGTAGAAATGTTTTTAAATTTTATTAGAAAACTTATGTCAAGCAGTAATCACTGAGTTTATAGGTACACCCCCAGTTTTGCTGTCTTTGTTTATTAGTTATCCTAAACTGCTCTCTGTCACCCAGTCTTTTTTTTTAAAGATTGGCACCTCAGCTAACATCTGTTGCCAGTCTTTTTTCTTCTTCTTCTCCCCAAAGACCCCCAGTACATAGTTGTATATTCGAGTTGCAGGTCCTTCTGGTTGTGCTATGTGGGACGCCACTTCACCATGGCTTGATGAGCAGTGCCATGTCCGTGCCCAAGATCGGAACTGGGGAAACCCTGGGCCACCGAAGCAGAGCACCCGAACTTAACCACTCAGCCACGGGGCTGGCCCCTCACCCAGTTTTGATTTGAAATCAACAGGCTGCCATCTCTGTGTGCTGGGCCAGTGATTTCAAAAGAAGGGCCTTACTTGCCATACCTTTCGTTCTAGTGGCGCATGCCAGGGCTGTAAGCTCATGTCTTCATAACTGCTTGTGCCAAACAAGGGAACCTGCAAAAGATGGAAGGCATTTCACTGGGGAATACATGCCCCAAAATCATGATTCATGCCTCCCATTCTGATGGGAGATTGTAGATTTTTCAAGATCAGTCAGAAGATGTTGACTTTTTAAAACATCGTGTCAGTAAATTGTATCCAAAAAGTTTTTGTTGAACCTGTACTATTTGCCTAACTCACAGCAGAATGCTGAGACAGTTTGAGACATAGCTATTACCTTCAAGAAGTTTACAAAAGCAGACACGGAACAGATAAAACTGTACTGCTGATGAGGGATGGAGATAGCAGCGGGAGTGGTCAGTGGGTTAGCAAGTATGGTCCTGCAATGTCAGAGCTAGCTCAGGGTTTCTCAAAGTCCCAGACCACCGAATGTGAGTCAAAAACAGTCTAGGCCCCACGCCAGACCTCCTTACCATGATCTCAGGAATTGCTTATTGTTCACACCAATGATTTAAAAACTACTAGCTTCGGTGAGGGTGGAGGTGCAACGGGGGGGGGCGGGCCCACCAGGTGCTCAGGGATGGGAAGAAGCCATTCCCAGGATTCCTGGAATCAGCAGTTGATCCCCTGCAGGGCATTTGCAGCCACCTCTGTCCCCGTAAGGCAACACAGTCCTCGCCCTCCCACGTGCAAGCACACAGTTCCTGTGCACTACAGAGCCCAGGCCACCGAAATGCTAAAGACCCCGGAGAGCTCAGAAAGCTTGCGACAGGAGAACAAGTGACTGTTCCTACGCTGGCATGAGAGTGGGGGTGATCACGTCAAATGCGTTGCCTGCTCATCATTCTGGTGGAAAGCAGCATGCCCTGCCTCTCCTTCAGGCTGTGATCATCAGCAGGTCAAAACCGATGGTCTGCCAGCTTCTTCTTGCTTCATTATTTCCGAATTTTCTTAGTATCATCCATACTATGCTGAATTATCATTTAATTCTCCCTGAAAATAAAGCCCTGATTTCAGTATCTTCGTCGCCGTGCTTAAAGGGGTGTAGATATTTATGATAGAATTTCAGTGTTTTGTTTCTAGTTTGAAGTTTAAACTTACTGTTCGCTACCTTCAACAACAATAATAGGCGTGTCTTGAATTAGTTCAGCACATGCTGGCTGCTCCTCACATCTGAGTCCCTTTCGTTTAATCCTCCCAGCTCACTCTGGGGTAGATTCTGCTCGCGTCTCATTTTATAGATGAGCAAGCTGAGGCTGAGAAGGGTTGAGTAATGGAGTGTTACTCGAGTCGGCTTGCCCTTTACCACTGAGCTATGCCACCTTCTGGAAGAGCTGTCGATTTTCCAGGGAATTGAATTCTGTATTTGAAAGTTTAGAGAACTCCAATGCTGTGAAATATTCATAATTTTTACACAGACTCAGTTGCGGGGGAATGGCTAATGGAAATGCCGATCGCTCCCTTTCCACCCTTGCTTTACCCTTCTGTCAAATGAAGACCCAAATGCACTTAGGCTTCTAGAGGTCGCCCAAAGGGCTGATTGAAGTGCAGGGTCCTGGCCGCCCCCAGAGGATCTGAGTGTGGCGATGCCCAGGAATCTGCGTCCTTATTAGGCCCCCTCAGGGGTGCTGAAGCCAGAGTCTGGGTC